GGAGTATAGAGATTACTTAAAGTGTTCCTTTGGCATGAATACAGACTTCTGATGTCCAAAAATCAAATTAAAGAAAAATTGGACAGATTTCAAAAAAGAAGTGCCAAGGAGGAGCAAGCTTTCAATTGCCTTTTATTAAAGGTCAGATTGCATAATCAAGCTGTTTACCTCTGACCTAGGCACAATACCTCCATGAATGGGTATTCCTATAATGACTCTCTAAGTTGAATCATTTCTGTGATCCTCAGCAAGTGTGCTATCTTCAAAAGTATGATTTTTTTAATTAAAAATATCTATAGAGCATTTTTCTACCTCACACCTCCATAGATAGTATTTGAAAAAATATTTGCATTCATTATACCATATTTTTGTAAGTTATTTAAACTGTAGCTTCGCAGATTAGTTTTAATTTTTTAAATACACAAGTGCCACTTTTATGAAATCTCACTTACTCTATCCAGATGTGGAAGCATATAGATTAACTGATAGATTTTTTTATACTTCATTGTCTTGTTCTAGACTAGACTTCATTGTCTAGTTTGTTTAACAACCTGATTTGGATGAGAAATTCTTATTCCATGGATTGTGTTTATCATATTTCAACTACAAAGAGATAATATCAAAAATGCTAACAGTAAACTCAGTCTTCCAAATTAATTTTTATGGATAGTCCTTAAATTGCTTATTGCTCGTTAATAAGATCAATATGGACTTAAGAACCTCTTTAAACATCTAGAATTCTTATATTACTGTCAGTATTGGAAAAGCAAACCCCAAAAAGTAGAAGTCCTGAGGATGAAAGGAGGAAAATTATCTTGAAAATATGCCACTGCTAGAACAGGGAATTTTAATCATTAACTTCTGTTCACCAGGGATACTGGAGTTAAAAGACTGCCATATCTAATTGGTATTTATGTCAAATGTAAGGAATACACAATAGGCTTTCTCAGTTGGCAGTCACAATTCAAGCGGGAGAGGTGAAGAAATCCAGTAGTTACAATCAATCAAAACAATGCAATGTATTACTCAGATATTTCACTAGCCATTTAAGTCAGGATATTCTACTAGAAGATATTAAGGCCATAGACAAGAAAACAGCAAAATAAGCTCATTCCATGGCACTGTCCCTGAGAGAAATTCATTGTGTATATCTTTATTATATTATATCTTATTTGACATCTTTTAAGATATTTCCCAGATTTCCTACTGTGATCTTTTGGATCATGAAATAGGTAGACATGTTTTCTATCATGTTTTCTATAATCATAGCCTCAGAACTGCTACGATTTATAGCTACACCTATTCTCTTCCACAGTTTCACTCCTCATTTTGCCAGCATAAAACACTTTTCTTTATTCTTCCACAGTTTACTTTTAACTTTGGCCAGACTGTAAATTAATTCAGCTGTATCCCAGTAAAGTGTATTAAGTTTCCCTCCCGGTAAAACAAAATATATGTCAGTGAATTTCTACTTTAATGAAAACTACTTCACTGAATAAACCACAGAATTTGAAATCATTAAACTTTGCACACTGCAGACTGCACTAACCTACTTTTCGGCTAAACTGAATCATACTGCCTTATGTTCAAAAATAATATCAAAGATGTTATTATGTCTTACTATAATGGAAAACAAAACATTCTGTTCTTATGACGGATCTTAAACAAATTTTCAGAAAACTCGAAGGAAAAATAACAAACCCAAACGAAAGGCATCCACAAATACAGCAAGAATGATTGCCCTTGGTGCTCATCAGTAGAAATCCTGACGCCATCAGGAGGAATCATAAACTGATTCTTGTCACTATCTAACAAAGTATTTTTATTATTTCAGTAGAAGGGAATTGAGGCGCCAGAGAAGTAATTGAGAAAGCTGTTTGAGATGACATTGGTAAACTTGGAGACCAAATAAAGTCTTCTCAATCATCATCCAGAGATTTAATTACATGAACATTCTACCCTTTGCTTGCACCCAGCATTGGATAAAAACCATTTTGTTGACTTTCTGTTAAGTCAAACTTGCTGTAATTTGTGCTGATTCTACTGCATTCATTCATATGTCATTACACCTTTCAAACTTTGTATTTTCCTGGAAGTTTTATGAAACCACATGCGTGATACAGAAGCAAGCATTGTGGACATGTACATAGCTAAATACCTTGCAAGTCTGAAGGCACCAAATGTTATTAGGGGTACTGAGTTGCTAATGATTGATCTGAGGAAAAGAACAATGTTTAACTTTTAACATTTTTGCATTTTGAGCACCAAAGGAAGCTAACTTCTCCCTCTCACTGGAAAATTTCTTAAATACATTAGAGCAGTAGAGCAGTTTGTTTTGTATTTCAGTTATATCTTCAGGAATTTAGTCAATTTCAAAGTCTGCATTTGTAGATGATGAAGGAGGAGTAGAGCTAAGATAAAACTGATTCAGAAGGAAGAGGCTGTAGAAATTGGATGATAAATAAGTATGAGAAACCTGGGATAGGTATATAGGCACTTATGAGGACACAAGTATAGCAAAAAACATTAAGTCAAGTATTAAAGCTGGAAAACAAGGAATGGCATATTCCCTTAGATTCAAAGAAGAAACAGGTGTCATATCTGACTAAACCAAAAACTATAAAATGTCAATTTTACAGCTTTTCTGCTAGACCAGTAGATTCAACTATTTACTGATGATACAATAGATTTATGAGAGAGAAATAATTGTTCAGGGTTAAAACAATAGCAGATACCAAGTACTATTTGAGCTATCAAATATCTTAAAATCTAGAGGTTGTCTGATCATCATAGAATCATGCAAAATTATTTATGGGAAAATGAAGAGCAAAGCATGTATCAGATATCTTTCCTCAAAATACAGTATAAAAATGAAAAATATAAAGATTATAAATCTGCAATTCTTTGCCTTTGATATATTTTTACAAAGTTAGGAAAAAAGATTATTCTATACACCTATTTACACCTGGAAATACATCATAGACTCCTGGTTTAGATATTCTAATACTAGCTAAAAGTTATCTATCAAGAAAATTTACATCCTTGACTGCAGAAAGCAATTGTTCTCTATCATAAATCTTAGAGACCCAATTTTGTGAGTGTGATCAGTGCAAATATAGAGCTCTTTAACAGAGCTATTACTTACATTTGTGCAATTTACCTTTGCTTGAAATCAGTAATTCAAATGATTCAAATTAAACATCTAAGTTTTAAATAAATTCAAACAAAATCATGTAAGTATAAATATAATTACAGGAAATTTGATACATACAGTTGTATGTATTAAAATCTCATGGATAGATAGATAGATGTCAAAATACAGGTATTGCCAGACCATTCTATGTTTATGGGAGATACTTCTTGTGGGTTCTTGCAGGGATTGATTCCTGATTGATTACTAATGAAGTGTGCAGATGACTCAGGGCTGGATGAGTAATGGAAGGAACAAGTCACCAATATAGATCTATTGCTAGGTAAAAGAAAGTTAGGAGTAATGCTCATATATCTAAATTCAAAGAATAAAAGAACAGGAATACAGTTGATAATAATTGGATATGAATATATTCTGGAAAGCAGTAAACCTGGAAAGCAATTAGGAAAAAAGTGAAACACAGTTATGAGCTGTCATTGGCATGTTTCAAGAAAGTCTTTCTGTCCAGGCAGAATACCTGAATACTATACAACAAGAGTAGAGGTTTCAAATGGAATTAGCAAGACATTTAGCACCAATTGTGACATCCACAGGATTTGAAAATCTAAGCAGAGCACTGGAAAGAAATGAAAGACAGACTCAAACTCTAGAAAACATGACTCTACTGCAAGAGACTATAAAAGGCAGATATAAATTTTACTATAAATAAATAAATAAATAAAATTGAGAGATGATACATCTCCCAGTTTGTAATTTCCTCTAAAAGTATAACTTGTGTATCAAAAAAAAAAAAAGACAAAAAGAAAGAAATTGTGGGTTTTGTCTTTTTTTTAATGAGTAGAATAAATGAAACAAAGGATGTCAGGAGACTTTCAATAGCTTGTAAATCTTCATATTAAAAATAGACTTCATGCCACCGTTCAATTTACTGAATGAAAATTTATGGCTTACAATACAGCTAGTGTCATCACACTTCTAACAACAGTTTAGATGCACACTGGCATCTGTACTCTGAATCTATGAACATTCATTCTACTTTGAAATTCCAAAATAACTATTGGTAGCTAATAACTTATTAAAACTATTGGAAAGCAAATTATTTTGAATATCTAAAAATCATATGATATTCTGACAGCAAATGCACATCCAGAAAGTTTTTTAGTTTGTGTTGAAATTAAAATTGCTATTTCAAAATTATGGTGAAGAAATTACTGAGCACTCATTTCTATATAACTAAGAATATGCAATTAGAAAAAAATCATTAATACTCACCCACCATTGTGAATTTGTCAACAATGGTAGTGAAAAATAAATTGATTTAAATATTTCTTTTTATCTAGTTCAAATGATTACTAAATTGCATTTCTTTTTCATTAAAATGTCAAGGTAATAATCAAGTAATAACTTCGATGAAAATAAATGGCAAAAGCATCCTACTCTCCATGAAGGTAATAGCATGGTGCTAGACTAGTAAATGAAAGCAATATATTTTGCCAGATAAAATCTTCTGCCTAATAATCAGACCACTTCATTTGAATCAAACACTTTTTGTACTCTCTCTCAACTCAGCTGAACTCAACTACTTTGCCAAGGATCCAAAGATTTTAGTCAAAGCAAACTGAAACTACTAATCAACTGAGATAACTCTAAAATTGGAATAATTTACTTACAATTTGGAAGAGAATAAACATCCATGACTAAGTTAACAGCATAGTTCATTTATGACACAGTAATTGATAAGTAATTGAAACATATATTACAAACTGTTCATTGCTGTTGTTATTAATATACCTTATTTTACTAACTTCCTTGGACAACTATTTCTGGAAATTAAAATATAATTGCTTACCAAGATGGTGGTAACAATTAATGAGCGATTGGACAGGGAATCTGTGATGTTTGCTGGTTTTCCTTTCTGATTCTCTGTCATGTTAAGGCCACTTGCTGGGTCCCAAGTTCCAATCTATAAAACAGTATATTGCTATGTAAATTATCCATTAGTTGTATTTTAACATCTAGGAAAGAATACTAGAAAAAAAAAAGTTAAGATTGCTATCACTTACTATTTGCCCCTAATCCATTATCCTCTGTCCTTATATTTAAAGTCTGCTTGTTCAAAATATGATTCACTGTATTTCAAAGTGTGAAGTGTAACATTCGGTCAGCAGGATGAAATGAATATCTAAAGAAGTCACCTTGAATACTTAGGTTTTTTTTTCTTCCATTTAAATTTTCACTCTTCTATATAAACCACATCTGATGAAAACATAATAGTTGGATGGAAATTCATTTGTAGAGCACAGAGCATCTTCTCTACAGAAGGATTTACTCTTTCTCAGAAAGAGCAGAAGGGCAAAAAGATGTTTTGGGGAAAATGAAATGGGGAAGACTGAAAGTAGATTAAGTGTAATAACTTAATTGATTTCCTGATAAATGGTTATTACATACATCTTTTGACATTCTGTAATTTTAGTTTCTTATTCCAGTAAAGTTAATATGATTTTTATCTAAGTAAGAAGGTCCAGGGTTATGCTCTAAGGTTCAGGTCAAGGACAGTGTTACATACTCTGTAATGCATCTTATTATTACATCATTCAACTTCAATTTCATTATTATGAAATTCAAACTGGCTGGCAATAAGCACAACAATCCATCTTAGACATCAGAATTTTTTGGCTAAAGAAGAAAAAAATCTCATGCCCTTTCTTTTTGCTTTTAGAAACAAATGTTGATTAAAAATCATTTCAAATTGCAACCAACATCCTTGATATAATCAGTACAGTAATTATATAATTAGGAGAGCTAACATGTTTAATTAATGACTTTTTCTTATTATCTTATGTATTTGTACTTTAGAAACGCGCACAGGTTTTTTTTTGTTTTGTTTTGTTTTTTAACATCTAAACCTTTCAAAGCAATTCCAGAGGAACAGTTTCTATACTTTTAAATGACTTGTCACCACATAGCTTCCCAGTTGGCTCAGGATGCAACTAAGTATCTGAGTTGAATTGAATGAGTTACGTCTCTAAAAGAGAGGAAAGGGGGAAGCAGGTGATGGGAGCGTGGGTGGCAGGGAGCGGAATGAGAGAAGAGATAGAGAGGAGATAAAGACAGAGAAAGATAGAGTTGTGGAGAGAGAGGGAAGGAATGACTATGAAAGGAAGAGAGAGGTAAAGTGCCATAAAAAGAGATTCAGCACAATTTGAACTAGACAATTTTGAAAAAAAAAAATGAGAGCACTCTTTTAAATGAAAAGACTGGCTAAGACGTGTTCTTGCTATTCAGAAATGTCCTATTGTAGGGTTAGAGAATTGCTCCTGGATTCAGGAAAAGTAGGCTTTACATTCTTTCATAACAAATAATTTTTTTCATTCAAAGACATTTTTGCTTCACTCTGTCAGAAAATTGACCTATAAGACCCAAACATTAACTAACCACTTGAATCTAATGAAGACAGAACTTAATTTTCCTTTCCTTAATTTCACATCATTATATCCTAGCTCATATATCTCTTTGAATCTCTGCAACATTCCCCAATATTCTTTGCTAAGACTATCCTAACTCAAATTTTTTCTGATTCATAATAAGAAATTCTTACTGCTCTTTCCGGGCTTGTTAGCACATTTAGTTGAAAAATTAATACCATCACATCCCTTTAAAGCCAAAATGAAACATAAAAGGAGCAATAATAATTTCTTTTTCTGTGAGCTTCTATATACACAGCTCAAGCTCTTGCTGGTTGTGTTTTTAAAAATATATATATCCTTTTATAATTATTTATCCTGTTGCCTCATGCATCTTTCCTTATTAACATTTCCCAAGCTACTTTTTTGCTATTACGTTCTTTATAGCACTGCATTTTCAGCTGAGTTCTAATTCCCTCCCATATATCTGATCTCTGTAGACCCTGTCATTTTATTTTTATATTTTCTATGGGGTTCATGTCTCCTAATATATTGTCAGTTGAGAATTAAATTAATATGTTTTGTGTTTCTACTTTCATATCAATCCTGATAGCAAAATAAAGTAGATGTAACACAGATCCAAATGGCAGACATCATTTCTTTAGGCCAGTGAACATCCATTATGCAGTTTCACACCAGCGTTCTCTCAGACAATTTCCAGTCAACGCAGAGCAGTTAATCAAACACTTTTTTTTTTTTTACTAAGATGGTGAAGCAGTATCAAACGATGCAAATATGTTACACTGACTTCATTTCTTTGATTAATTTATTTTGCATTTCTGCCAGAAGTGAAATTAAGTCAAAATTTTTATTTTCCAGAAAATGCATGCTGAATGATGGTTCTCAGATATCATCCAGTTTCCTTAAAGCCTTCCTGGATTCCTTTCCTCATTTTCTTCAGTTTTCCTCTTTTGTCATTTGTGTGCATTCAGACTCTTCAGCCACTCCTGACACATGTAGCTACTCTGATGTCATATATTCTTTCAATTTTGGTTCCAAGAAAGAAGACAGGTTATGTTGCACCTGTTCTACTCATGCACAAATCACACACAGTTTTATAATTTTTCTTCTTTCTTTCATGGAATACTCACAAGAAGACTATTTACTGTCAGTCTGTTGATGAATGTTTTTAAAAATACTTTAGTCTTTCAATCACATTTTTGCTACTGGCATTTTTGGAAATTTTATTAACCACTTTAATGTTCCAAACCAAGTTCACATCTTATGAGCATTCAGTAAGAGAAACAACATCCTGAAGTGCTTACTGCAGAAGTAGGTTTTGGAAAAAAAACTATTGTTTTCATTAATTTCTCTATTTAATTATACACAGGAGGAAAAAAAAAAAAAAAGAGTACTTCAGCATAGTGACTTCCCTAAGTTTCTCTTTCGTATGCGGGGACATGGCAGAGTGATAGAAGAGGAGGTGAATGATCTGGCCTCAGATCATCATGGAGCCATATAGCTAGTTCAAAGATATGCATTGGATCCCAGGGCCCTTATTTCATACAGTGCCAAAACTGGGCTACAAAAAAAAGGGACTCTTTTTTTTGAATCACATTAGATCTCTGTAGAAGAATACCTGACACAGAATGATTAAGGTTGGCAGGGACCTCTAGATATAATCTAGTCCAACCCCCCTGCACACACAGGGTCACCTAGAGCACGTGGCACAGGACTGCATCCAAGCGGGTTTTGAACATCTCCAGAGAAGGAGACTCCACAACCTCTCTTGGCAACCTGTTCCAG